CTCTAGCATTTAAAATACTAGTTATTTGCCCTACTTGAGTTTCTAGCTTAGCAATGGATTGAGAATGAGAATGAAGTAATTGAGTGTTCGCCTCTAGAGTGCCTAGAGCGGTCAAAACTTTCTCTTCAAAAGCAGGACTCCTAGCATTTCCTTGAGAATATAATGGTTGATTAGGAAAATAAGAATTAGAAAATAGATTTCCTTGTGATTGAAATAATGATCTAAAATCTTGGGAACCTTGGCTTTGCATCAGAGGTAGAACATACTTCCCTTGGAAACCACCTTGAGGAGGGTTTGAGCCTCCCCCTTGGTTTCTCTAAGAGAAATTCGGGTGATTCCTCCAACTAGGATTATAGTGATTTCCATAAGGATTGTTCCATTGATTAATAAAAGCTGCATTAACTTGTTCATAATGCTCACTTTACACATGTCCATGGGGACAATTGGAATGTAAAACACTTGAACAAGTCATACATGTCTCATTGGATGCATGATGGGAATAGTTGGGGATGGAAGATACTTGATTTGCAGAGTTTTGGTTGATCAAGAATTGATCAAACCTTTGAGATAAGGATTTCATCTCGGCGGCTATTTCATTGGAATGGTCAACTTGATGTAAGCCAACACTCTTCCTTCCACTTGAATTCCTACCATTCTTAGAAGATAAAGTTTGATGCAAAGAATTTTCACTCATGCTCTCATAAAGACACCACACGTCATCCTCATGCCTATCAATGTAAGAGCCACCCATGGAAGCATCAACCATGCCCTTATAATTGTCCTGTAAGCTCTCAAAGAAATATTGAACTAATTGCCATTTGGGCATGTCATGATGTGGAAACTTCCTAAGCAATTCATTGAATCTTTCCTATGCCTCATGGAACGTTTCCCCATCCCCGTATGAAAACTCTCAAATTGAGGTTCTCATGGCATTGGTCTTAGAAATCGGATAGTACTTCTTTAAGAACTCTTGTTGCATTTCTGCCTAAGAAGTTATTGAAAAAGGCTTAAGATTGTTAAACCAATATTTTACCTTGTCTTTAAGGGTGAATGGAAAGAGTTTAAGCCTTAAGACCTTTTTCGACATATCCGTGTATCTCATGGTGGAACATACTTCAAAAAACTCATCGAAATGCTTGTAAGGTTCTTCACTTGGAAGTCCATGATAGTTAGGAAGCATTTGAATGGCCTTAGCATTCCCAATGGAACTTGGCCTTGTTGTGGTGGTGGGTGAATGAATGGCCTCGGCATGCCTAATGGTATTTGCATGTTATCATGATACACATTGGGGTGGAGGATGCCTTGTTAGTCTATGTGACCAAGGTCCTCCACATGGTCCTCATTATGTACTTCGATTGATGAAATGGATTGACTAGAACTTCCTCTTTCCCTAAGGTTTCGAACAATGGATTCAAGATGAAAATTAAGAGGGACAAGAGTAGGTTTCAATGATCTACGACCATGCATGCACAACAAAACACAACAAGCAACAAGTAATGAACAAACATTTCACCTTCGCAACAAATCAACAATCAATAAACTTCCTCCATATACAATGCTCCCATACTCCCATGCTATCAACAATATGCAAAGAAAAGTAAATTGCCTCCACGTGGGCTCACGATTTATCTAAGAATTGAAATACAAGCCTCCACGCGAGCTGACGATTTAACTATAGATTAAGTTAAGAAAGAGCTCACAAAGGGTCCTTAAGCACTTCAATGCAATTTTTAATTTTAGCCTTGCAAATTTTTTTTAGATTTTAGCTTTTTCCTTGCTTTTGCTTAGCTCCTTGCTTGAAATGCTCCTTTACTCACCTTCTAGCTCAATGCACCTAGTCAAACAAGAACCAACACAATAAGTAACCAAAATGAAAATGAAAACAAAGTAAAGACACGATCAAAAGAGTACTAATTCCTAATTGATTCCACAAATACGACGTTGCCTTCAATCAATCCCCGACAACGGTGCCAAAAACTTGGTGTGGCTTGTCGCGGCCCACCAAAGCTTGAACCAAAAGATAGTGGTGTTGGGCTATGGTCAAGTTTTACATTTATAAATTGCTACTACTACCTTTCACTAAAAATATAGTTAGGGCGAGTAGGGATAGTCCTAACGGATTGGTGGGTCGTATTAGGTTGTGGAATCGAGATTAGGATTAATAGGTCGAGTGATCAAAAGATTGGTTGGTGGTTGAATTACACTAAGATGTAATTTAAACTAAAGTAAATAATTAAATGCAATAGGGAGAAAATAAGAGAGAGAGATCTTGGGGTTTAGAGATCACCACTAAGCATAGCTTTTCTACATTCTTAATGAATGATTAATGAGGGGGAAAACATGTATTGCAACATAGTGTGTGTGTGTGGTTGTTTTAACAAGTATGGATGACAAATTAAGCATATATTGTCTAAGCAACATGGTGGATAGTACAATATATCAAACTAAGCCATTAATCATTTCTTTAAACTCACAATCCAAACACATCACAAGGTTAGAGAAATGTGCTACTTGCTTTAATAAGTATGGAACATTAAACAACAAGTATGGATTGTCCTCCTATTTAACATCTAAACTACAACTACACTATAATTAAGCTAATGACATGAAATTAAACTAATTAAACTAAGGGAGAGGCATAATCCATTAAGAAATGAGTATGAACCATCAAATAAACCACAAGAGCATTCTATTAAGCACTATGTCTTGACAATCTCTAGATCTATAGCATTAATACACATAGACATGCATCAATAACACAAGAAATAGAGATAAACACAGGAACATCTATTCTAGCATACATAGACATATTAATAGAATGAAATGATCAATTGGAAGCATTAAACCACACAAATCATTGAATAAACAAGATCTATATATATAAAAGTGTCAAAACATGTATCACAATACAAATCCCCTCAAAAATACATAAATCAAGATATAGAAAGTATGCTTAGGGCTAACTCTAGTCCCAAGAGGATGTCTAGCCACTCATGGATGGTGTCCTCCAACCCTCAAGGGCTAACTCCATGGTAGAGATTGCTCATCTTCTTGGTTGATGGAAGAACTCCAAGCTTGTGTCTCTAGCCTCCTTTCTTCTTTTCTTCCTTACTAAGAATATGGAAATTGTGTCTCTAGTGCATGTATCTAGTATATATCAAGAATGGCTCATATTCCTTATATAGGTAGGTTAAATATCACCCCCAATGAGCTGGACTCGTACACCAATATTCCTTCCAATGATTGGATATGAGACAACTTTTAATGAGCTAGAAATTGGATTTTTTCGGGCTTGAGGAAGTTCGATCGATCGAACTTGTGGTGAGATCGATCGAACATGGCTGAGATCTATCGAACTTAAGCTGGATCGATCCTCTATGGCGGCGCCATTTTGGATAAAGACAAATCTGAGATATTTTGAACATATTTTTGGGAAAGAGACAAATGTGGTAGGTAGGGTGGTACAACTGGATAAGATGGAATCTTTTCGATTGATCGGAATAAAGTTGGATCGATCAAACTTTGTGGGATCTTTGGATAAGGACAAAAGAGCTTGGATCCAACTTGAAATGCTGAGATCGATGAACTTTCGATCGATCGAATATTTTTTGAGATCGATCGAACTTGCTGAATTTCCACCACTTACTTCCTTTTGCTCCCACTTTGCTCCTTTCTTTGAGTCATCTCAAGATTGCTTCAATTATACTTTTATTTAGCTGAGTTAGCTTATTTTGGGGATAACTGCCTGAAAATGGAAATAATACAAAATTAATCTAAAGTGAAAAAATAAGATATATAAAGGTTCTAGAATACCTAAGCTTAAGGGGTTTAAATGCGCACTTTTCAGCGCTCATCAGATATCCTTCTTTTGTTGTAATATCAACAGTAGGGTGTATGGTACATGTTTTTGTTGCAATATCAATAGTAGGGTGCATGTATTGCCCCCTATTACGACAAAAGAAGTAAGACCCCACTCTACTAAAGGAGTAAAGATGTGCATAACTCAAGAAACTTCTATTACATAGGCCTAGAAGCAGCCATACCTGGATAAAAAATATACATACGCTATCTGTGAATAAAAAGTAAACAAACTATATCATCTAATGATAGTACCTTTTCAAGTGTATTGCATTCCATAGACGTGCAATTGGACGCCCATTAGCTTCCGCCAATCGGTAAGCTCCTTTCCCTACTATTTCTGTGACTCTGTAAGGTCCGATCCAATTAGGTTGCAACTTTTTTACATGAGCTGTTTCCTGTTTCAGCACCCAATCTCCTTCCACAAAACGTCTGAACTTAACGCGTTTGTTGTAACTGTTACGCAACTTTTGCTGGTATGAAGCGAGCCTAATTGTCGCAGCATCCCTCTTTTCTTCCAAGAGATCGAGGCTGTGTTCGAGCTGTTGATTATTGTTACCTTCGAGTACCAAGTGGGTTCGAAGAGTCGGAACTACTGATTCTGTGGTTATGACAGCCTCTGACCCATAGGCCATGGCAAAAGGGCTTTCTCCCGTTGGCCTACGGGGGGTGGTTGGATACGACCAAAGTACCTGAGGTAGATTCTCGTACCATTTGGATTTGAGCTTTTCTAACTTTTTCTTCAAGCAGCTGAAGATGGTCCGATTAGTTATTTCTGCCTGTCCATTCCCCTGAGGATGGCTAACTACAGCCAATTTTTGCCTAATCCCATACTCGGCAAAGAACTTTCTTGTGCTTCGGTTATCTAAATTTGGGCCATTGTCCATCATGATAACATTTGGCACCCCAAATCGGCAGATTATATTGTTCCATAGAAAACTCTTCACTTGTTTATGGGTCACGCTCGAGTAAGCTTCGGCTTCTACCCATTTAGTAAAGTAATCGGTGGCTAGCAACACGTATTCCTTTTTCTCCACAGTCTTGGGCAAAGGACCGACCATATCAATCCTCCATCGAGAAAATGGCCATGGATTCGCCATCGCGTGCAAATCTTCGGTGGGTTGATGCTTCATTGGACCATGTCACTGGCACTTATCATACCTTCTGGCATACTCTTCAGCATTCCGAGCCAAGTAAGGCCAAAAATAACCTTGAGTTAGAACTCTATGTGCCAAAGATCTACCTCCAGAGTGATTGCCATAATCCTCATCATGAATCTGCTTCAGAATCATGAGAGCCTCAGTGGGGCTTAAACATTTCAGGTAAGGACCTGAGAATGACTTTCGGTATAATTGGTTATTGATGATAGCATATTTGGCTGCGGTGAGCCTGAGCTTTTGCACCTCGGCCTTCTAGTTTGGGAGAGTCCCCTCCTTAAGGTAAGCTTCCAATGGATCCATCTAGCATGGTTCGCGTGGGATATCTGGGATCACTATTATCTCCTGCCAAGGGCTTATACTCGGTTCATCCAGGATGTCAATTGGTACGATTCGGACCAAATCTTCATCCGAAGAAGATACTACTACAGCTAACTGATTTGCTTCAAATTCTCCTCGCGAGGTATCTGATGGAATTCAATCTAGTCAAACCCTCGTGAGGCACTCTCCACAGCTTCTCTGTAGGTTTTCATTCTATCTTCCTTGGGCTGGTACTGGCTTGTTACCTGATTCACAATAAGTTGAGAATCACTAAAAACTTTTAGACACCTTACCTAAAGCTGGTTTACTAACCGGAGTCCTGCAAGTAGGGCCTTATATTCTGCCTCATTGTCAGTGGCAGGAAAAGTTAGCAGGATTAATTGCTGCAGCTTAGTGCCTTCGGGAGTTATGATAATGACTTCTGCCCCAGCACTAATCAAGCTCGAGGAACCATCCACCCGAAGCTCCTATTGTGGCTCGGAAGGGCCTGGCTCCTCGGGCTTATCTTCATACTCCAAGAAGAAACCAGCTAGTGCTTGCCCTTTGTGCGACACCTTCGGTTCGTAGGATATGTCAAAGGAACTAAGCTCGATTGCCTATTTAGTTATTCTTCCAGATAAATCCGGTTTAGAAAGAATGACTCGTATGGGGCAGTTGGTAAGAACTTTGATGCTGTGTGACTCAAAGTAGTGTTGAAGTTTCCTTTTTGCATATACCAATGCTAGTATGATCTTCTCGGCTTTGCTGTACTGCGTTTCTGCATCTATCATTGTCTTGCTGGTGTAGAAGATTGGATATTAACTCTTACCTTCTTCTCTGATCAATACTACACTTGTGGCTACGCTGGAGATGGCTAAGTACATGATAAGAGTCTCACCAGGCTTCAGAGCTGACAGAATTGGGGGTTTTACCATGTAGCATTTCAGTTGATTGAAAGCAGCTTGCTGTTGAGGTCCCCATATGTCTTTATTTTCGGACCTTATTGCATCAAAGAATGGTTTGCACTTGTCAGACAATCAAGAGATAAATCGACTGAGAGCTGCGATTCGACCGGTCAAAACTTGTACTTCCTTACGGGTCTTTGGTTATTGATTTTGTATAAGGGCTTGAGCCTGAGCCGGACTCACCTCAACTCCCCTTTTGTTTACAATATGGACAAGGAACTATCTTGAAGAAACTGTGAAGGAACACTTCGATGGATTTAGCTTCATGCCATATTTTCTTAAAGTGTCAAAGACCTCTTAGAGGTGCCTGGGATGGTCTTCCTTCTTCACACTTTTAACCACCATATCATCGATATAGGCCTCAACCATCTTTCCCAACATCTCGTCGAAAATCTTGTTAACAAGGCGCTGGTAAGTTGCTCCAGCATTCTTGAGCCTGAAGGGCATAACTCTGTTATGAAAGCAGTCTTCTCTTCATCCTCCAGATTCATAGGAATTTGGTTGTAGCCGGAGTACTCATCGAGAAACGTGAGCCTCTCAAAACTAGTAGTGGCATCAACCATCTGATCAATCTTAGGTAACAGGAAGCTATCTTTAGGGCAGGCTCTGTTGAGATCAGTAAAATCTATGCAAACCCTCCATTTTTCATTCTTCTTCTGAACTACCATCATGTTGGAGAGCCATTGTGGGTAGTACACATCTCGGATGAAGCCTGCCTGAAGTAACTTGCTTACCTCTTCAGATATAATTTGGTTACGCTCTAGAGCGAACCTTTGTGCTTCTGCTTGACTGGTTTGTATGCCGGATCCACCTTCAGGCTATGGCATGAGACTGAAGGATTGATCCCCACCATGTCTGAATGGTCCCAAGCAAATGCATCTGCGTTACGTTGAATGACATCAATTAATGCTTCTTTTTCTTCGGCTATAGGGGAAGAACCCATGTAGGTGATTTTCTGAGGATCGCCGAGGATTACTTCAACAGCTTCCAGAGACTCCTCGGTAGGCTTTTTAGCTTCAGCCTCACCCTCTGCTCTCAAATACCTGGGTAGAGGATTCTGTAATAGCTATTTGGACTTGCTTCCCGGTGGTGTGATCGGTTGGGACTGTTTTGTTACCTTCTTTGCCTCATTCTATGTTAACATGTAGCATTCTTTAGCAGCTACTTGATCTCCCCTAAGGTCAATAACCTCTCTCCTATCCGGAGATAAGCATCACATCACCAGGTGAAGGGTAGACAGAACCCCGTTCATTCGGTGAATCCATCCTCTTCCCATAATAAGATTATAGGAAGGGTGGATCTCCGTTAAGATAAAGTTTTCCTTCAGTGTCCTCTTTACCGCGGTTATAGATAGGTTAATTACCCCAAGGGAGTCCACCTTTGTACCATCGAACCCCATCGATGGGCTAGAGGTGGGCCAAATTGATGATGACGGAATCTCTAACTGCTCAAATACCGCCTTTGTGATGATGTTGGCATTGCTCCCTAGGTCTATCAAAACCTTTTTAATCGTGCAATTCACCACCAAGTGACTGATGACCAACAGATTCTCACAGGGGAGTTGAACTCTAGATAGATCTCCATCGCTGAACCCAATGTTGATGCTTCCTGTGACGACCCAAGTTTTTCAACCCGGTGTGTCAGTGATGAACCGAAAGTTAATTCGATAACGGATCCAAAATGCAGAAAGAAATGATAAACCAAGGTCTTAAGAGAAAAGAATCACTTCTAAGACATAAATGTGACCATTCAAGAGATCACAGGACTTAAAGAGAGCAAAAGCGGGAACAAATGTCAAAAAGGACAAAATTCGTTATCAAAAGGGCAAAATGGTCAATTCACAAATAAAGTGAAAAACTTGACTCTAAACAAGTCAAACAAGGTTAATACAACCTAAGCTAATCATTTCAAGACATCCCAAGAGGTTTTAAGAACATTGGCTAAGAATTCCACAAAATGCCCTTTCCCGGTTGAAGTGAAAACTAACACTACTCCACTAAAACATGAATATCTCTCACTATGTTTGGAATATGAGAATGGAATAGGTACCATTGGAAATCTGACTCAAAATCCTAGAGTTTAGGCTCAAGAATCACCCTATTTGGATTAGAAACAAAGAAGTTATGGCCTTTCGAAGTTAGACCATTAGTGCTGAAACTGAACTAAAGAGCTGCGCAAATGAGGGCTATTTTGGTCGACCGAAATAGAAGTAGGGTGAGTTTAGGTCGACTGAAACTCACAGAATAATTTTTGAAAATATGGTTTTAAGGCTTGGTTGGTTCGGTAGACCGGTTTGAGGCATCGGTCGACCGAAATAGAGTTTTGGTCGACCGAAACTCTATTTCGGTCCACCGATGCCTCAAACTGGTCTACCGAACCAATCAAAACTCCTTGAAACGCTGTTGAATGGTCCTACAAACATATGGAATTGCAATGGAACTTATGGGATTCATTAAACCCACATGCATAGATCAAAATTTGATTCATTTTAAGGAAAATTGAACATATGAATATGTCAATTACAAGAATTTCATGTGGCAAACATCCAAGATGGTTAAAATGCAATTTAAAGTAAAAGTTTGATGCCAAGAGAGTACAAGTACAAAAGTAATCATGCTTGGCCCTTGGCCTCCATACATTCATTCTTATAATGTCAAAAGTAAGTACTTAAGTATCATTACACATTAAGGTAGCTACATTAGCCCCAAAAATACTATACATCCATGGTATGCAAAAATAGAATATCCAAAAGTAAAGCAAGCTAACATTTACATGACAATATACAAAAATGTTCGAAATTGCTCATTAGCATCTAAGGATGATGAGTATCCAAGAACATAGTCTTTTCACCTAAAAAACAACCCAGACCACTAGGGTGAGTAATCAAGTTACTCGTAGGAAGAAGCATATGCGTATACCCTAAAGTTTCAATATCTTTGCAAGATCAATATAGACGAATACAATGGAGCATTCCACTTAACGTCTATGTTCAAGGTGTTCTAAGGGATCATCTTAAGCTAACTTAAATATCTCTTAGCAACACATATCAATATCAATGTACTTAACAACAACAATTCGCCAATAACAAAAATCACAAGTTACAATTAAGCATTGGTTGTCAACTTGGAATTTAATGCGAAATCAATTAGTGGAATACTTGGACATCACGTCTCGGACTAAACCAAGATCAAAATGGTTATTCCGGGCATTAACCCGCTGGGAAGACCACCCTAGTGTGCACTTTCTCAATTGGGGAGAACTCAAACCTCCCGCACTAAAGGCAAACTTTAGCCATGTCATTTTAACAATATCCCAAGATAATCCAAAATCACAACAAGTTCAAAACTCAAACACTATGGTTAAGGCATATAAACCACCTTCCATGCACAAGTATTTTGAAACAACACAAACCATGTCTTAGGGTTCCAAATCTAAAATGACATAATAAATGACAAGTATTCATCATGATATAATGTATAAAACAATATCACTACTTATCAATTTAGATTATGCCTCAACAATAAACTTTATCTACTAATCATCAACAATTTAGCAACAAGCTTATAAAATAAACACAATAAGTCCTTGACAAGCATATAGAATTATCACCACCATAAGATAACAATTTAAATCAATAGAAATTGCATATGGCATTTATAATTCTACAAGAGTCCTATATTACTACCACATGTGAAAACACTAGAATTTAGCATACTACTAAATCATACAACCTTTCTACACATGGTATATACAAATTATACATGCTTAATTCAATAAACCCTAAGTCAACAAGTGAGGGTTTCCTATAATATACAAGACTATCATATTAAAAGCATGTATACAATATATATTAAACCCCAAAGGACTTAAAACACTCAAAATATAAACATACTACCACCCCTACCTCAATAGAGAATTGAATCTCTATAATCCAAGCAACCAAGCTCAAAATGTAAAATAAGTTTAGGGTTAATGAAGAGGAGAGTGAGGGGAAACTTTTGTGTTCCAAGGTCTTTGTTCTAAGGTGAGTGGAAGGAAGCCAAAAATTAAGTCAAAGCTATGAACCAAGTTTTCTCCAATGGTGGCTAGGTTAGGGTTTTGAGAAAACAAGTGAAATGAAAAAGGTAAACTGTGAAATGGTGAGTGGAAGGGCTAAAAATCCTCCACTCACTATGTGTTCTTACACTACCTCTCACACACACACAATGCAAGACTTATTTTGGTGCCTACACTTGTCACAAATCCGAGGCTCCTTCCTAGGCTCAATCTTAAGCCTACACTTGTTAACTATCTAAGCCAACAAGTGCACCAATCCTAGGCCAATAAGTGGGTGAATCTCCACCCTCCAAATGTCAAGAGATTAGACATCCAAGTTACTCCACCCCATTGCCAACAAGTGGCACCATGAGTATGTGACACTTGTCATATTTTTCAAAAATTACAAAATGATCCTTTTTCAAAATATCTTACAAATTAAATTACAAAATGGACCCTAAGACATAAAATAATTACTTTATGTAATTACACAAAAATCCCAAAAATAATGAATAATTACACTAAAGTAAGCATTCATGCCCCTTATGAAAAAGTAAGTAACTAGAATGTATTTTTCTACAAAAGTAAAAATACAATGTCATGGAAATCAAATATCATGAATGCATGCAAAACCGGAATCAAATCCGAGCACAACAAGTGAGGTTATGCAAGGAAAAATGAAAAACGGGAAAAAGAGGAAATAGGGAAAAGACAAAATAGGAAAAAGACGAAAAAAAGGAAATCGCCGAAAAAGGAAAAGGAGGAAAAAAAACCGGGTCATTACAACCTACCCTCCTTAAAAAGGATTTCGTCCCCGAAATCAAGTCGTACCTAAATGAGAGAACAAATAGGTATACCGAGAGTGAACCTCCTGTTCGAGCTCCTAGGTAGCCTCTTCAACACCATGATGTCTCCACAAGACCTTAACTAATGGAATGGTCTTGGTCCGCAAAACTTGTTCCTGTGAATCAAGAATCTGGA